GCAGCTCATCAACAGGGGGGACCCCAAGGGGACCCCTTTCCCAATCCTGGATGCTTTCTTTATATAGATCCCTCCTCTTCTATACTCTTCTCTGCAAATTATTGCCACTTCCACCTCCCTGAACTTTAATATCTGTCTCCTCATCTCAGTGAGACCACTGCGTTCTGCTGGGTTCCCGTCCCCTGTTCTGTGTCCTGGAAAATACCTAACAGTATAAAGCAGAGAAGATTTTGGAGCTTGCATCATTTGTTTCTCTTCTCTCCTGGACTATACTGCCTGGTGCCCAATGAATGGAATCAGCTGTTTTTATACATTTTTGCACACGTTTTTAGTTAATCATAGCAGGAAGAAAAATTCAGCACTAGTTACTCAAACATGGCCAAAAACAAAATTAATCTTTTGAAGTTATATTTATTTATATATGAACACATAGAAAGACAAACATCTTAGATTTTTGACCTCCAAGAGCTGTGAGTTTTCTTGCAGGAGTGAGCACAATCCTTTTTATTTGGTATACTATAAGCTTCTTAAATTATTTTGATATTTGAATAACAGTGCTATACTGTAGAAAGTCACTCCTAGGAATGGTGCATACTATAAAGACTATTACTTATGCTTCTCCTGGGATAGCCCATTAACTTTTAAAATTACCTTCCATCTACTCACTGAAGAATCCAATATTTAAATTTCTTGTCCAAACCCCTTTATTGGGCCTTGATTCCATTCCATTATCTACTGGACATCTCCACCTGAATTTCTCAAAGCTCTTCAGACTCGGGTTGGGAGGACGGACAAAACAGGTGAAGGGGATTAAGGAGTATAAACTTCCAGTTATAAAATAAATAAATCACAGGGATGTAACAAACAGCATAGAGAATATAGTCAATAATACTGTAATAATTTTATATGGTGACAGACTGTATCTGGCGTTATTGTAGTAATCACTTCATAATGTATCTAAATATTGAATTACTATGTTGTACACCTGAAACTAATATAATATTATAAGTCAATTATACTTCAATAAAAAAGGCACCCCAGATTCAAAAAATTTAATTATCTTGATTCCATAAAGCAGACCACCACCTCCTCAATAACCTGCTTTTCCTTCTCTGTTTCCTATTCAAGATCACTTCTCAAAACGGATCCTTAAATATCAACCTATATTTTTTCCTTTCAGTCTTACCCCACATGTAAAGCACTTATAAAACTGTGTTAATTCTACCTTCTAGCTGTTATAATGTCCCCATTACAATGTCAACCGTTGTCCTCCCCATGACTATAATTCAAGTTTTTAGTATTTCTTGCATGGAGTAGTGCAATAGCATAATAGTTTTTCTCCTCTGTATCTAACCTTAATTCCTTCTGATCTGTTTCATAGTTCCATAGAAAAATCTTCAATATGCAATTTGGTCATTTGTCCCTATCTTAAACCCCTTTAATAAAGCCATATCACTTATGAAATAAAAAAGTCAAACTCATGACAGTAAAGGTCCTTCATGATCTGGTATCTTATCTTTTGCCACGCTTTTCTTCATATTTTATGTTCCAATTTAATAAAAACTAGTCTTTGTATATAATGGGTCTTTGAAGAGCCTTCTTCTTCTGCCTGGAATACCTTTAGCTCACTTTTCCACCTAACAAATCCCTCTCATATTTTAAAATATATCTCAAATATTGTTTTTCGCACTAAGTGGTCTGTGGTCCCTGAACTCTTCAGAGATTGGCTCACTCTTCTGCCTTTTATACACTTCTATTATTGTACCTACTCCATTGCATAATGATTTGTTGTTTACATGTCTATCTTTTTTATGTTTTACCTTTGGATCTCTCATCCTTATCACAGGATCTAGAATCTAGCAGATTCTCAATAAATATTTTGGAATGAATGGACAAAGTAAAAAAAA